TTGCCTCAGGGTTGTTGTCCTGTCCCCCCCCTTCCCCCCAACATTGTGCACAAATGCAATTGGAGGGAGCACAGAGGGAAAATAAAGTCACTATTCTGCTACCAGAATACAGAGACCTGACCTTGGGCCAGTAAAGCCAGCAAGCAGAACAGGACAGTGATAGAATAAAGAGGGAGGATAGTGGGGCAAAGACAGAATGGGTGATGAAACATGGAGCAGAGAGGGAGGACAGTTTGTGAGGGAGAAAGAGAGTCTTATTACAATACTGTGTCCATTAAAAGAAGCCCTTAAACTCTGTACCTTTCAGAACTCTGAGCTTTGCCATGGCTACATAGAAGCCTAAACAACCGAACAGATTCCCTGATGAAGTTTACAGAGCAATTACAAATGATTAAGTGAATTTAACAAAGTAAACAAACTGAACGGTGAAAAGCAATCCGGGACTTTTAGGTTTAGTAAAGTTGTCTGCAAACCAGTGGATTTACTTAAAACCTTGTGCTTGATCTGAATGCTTATTTTTAAGATTTAAAAACTGATGATTAGGGAGGATAGGGTGATGCGGCACAAGGGGTCCCAACTAATCAGAAGTCAATAGTTAAAGACGTCAACCCAGGCGGACAGAGGGGGTGGATTAATCTCCACCACTCAAGCTCAGGTAATAGGGAGGAGAGGTCAGAAACTATTTTTATTATCTAAAACACCCTCATTCACTCCGTAGCTCACTATAGAAACAGACCTAGGCATGCACACACAGGAGCAAGCTGTGTCGGAGAGGAGGACCCACACTGCTGGTCTCTGCAAGTGTTAATTCAATTTATTAAGGGTCAGGTAGTTAGCATTGTGACCCCACTAAAACATGCTTTAACTTTACAGAACAGGCCGTTATAGAGAATGCCTTGCACACCAAAAAAAATCCCCAACCACAAAAACCAGTTGGCCTCACAAAGAAGAACATGGGACCCTGAAAGAGAGGAGGTAGTGCGGAGCAAACAGGGAAACAGGCATTCAGGAGCTTGATGAGGGTGGATTAGAGAGGGCAAGGGTGGGGAGCAGGGTGACTCCATGGCCTCCCTGGCTGTAGTATGCAACAATGGTGTAGTAGCAAACACTGCTGCTTCACACCAAGAAGGCTCTGGCTTCAAACCTGCTGGCTGACCAGAGCCTGTCTGTGTGGGGTTCACATGCTCTCCCATCCCTGGGGGGGTGGGGGGGTCTCCAGGTACTCCTGGTCAATGGTCTGTGATGGACTGGTGACCTTCCAGGGTGTACCACCTCTTGTCCAATGTCAGATGGGATCGGCTCCAGCCACCTCACAACCCTCTATAAGATATGCATAATAGTTACAGTGGAGATCTGATGACCTTGAATCTGTCTGTGACCTGGGCACTGCAGATCAACCATGATGCTCCAGTTAAAACACCTGTGTTGAGATTAGAAAATAATTCTCCAAATCTATAAACTAGAGGAAATACCACCTGTGACCCCTGCGACCAAACAATACCATTTCAAAACTTTTAACCACTGTTGTGCATAGCTGGGATGATACGAAGCTGGAAATTTACAGGCACAGTGCAGTATTGACACCTACTGTACTTCACAGCCACCAAAATTTCAGGAGTGTGCATGGTGAGTATGCTTCTGCTGGCTGTTTTTACCTACAGTCAGTCTTTTTTCTTCTCAATGGTGAAAAGCAAAACTATTTTGCATTTATGGCCAAATACACTGCAGTGGGCTATTGCTTGCCTTTACTATTTAGACTAAATACCAATAATAGGTGCAAGAATGCTGCCCTTCTTTGTTACAAAATGCATGACAACAAATTATTATGCAATTATTTATGATCATGATCACTCCAAACACATCAATGATCATCTGAGATGCAGGCAGGATAATGATGCTACCTGCTTAAATTGCAAAGTAGATTTTTCGCTAGAAATGCTAAATGCTGCATCGCTCCTCGCACTTCTCCCTCACCGCTCGCCCCCCTTTTACTTTTGAAATGCAAGCAGTCTAGGTCAGTCACTCAGCTCCTCCACCCATCTCCCATTCATATTACCTGTACTCACTCGCGCTTTTTCCATCTCTCACTACCTTTCTCGCTTGCTCTTTTTCTGTGAGTGCCCTGGTATGATCAAAGACAGCTTTGTGACACAGTGCAAGGCATCCGGGAAACAGAAAACATCAAACCGCTAAAGAGAAACTTGCAAAAAGACAGAGGCTCACATGCAAGTGTATGTATGTGTGTATGATAAACAAATGAATAAATTAACACGACAAGAGAGAGGGATGACTTTGTCTCTACCTTCAGCACTTCAATGAAAGGTAGGAAGGTGTCCCTCTGAAGTCCGTTTTTGTACAGATCTGAAAGAGGAGGGGAGGGCCTGTATTAGAGCTGCTGTTTAGCCTCCTAATAATGTCATTCCCCCACCACAGATTGGCAGATAAAGTGGCTATTGATGAACTGAAGGATGGGTGGGGAGGCACGACAAAAGGACTGGGACCAGGGGAGAAAAATGGATTTCTCTACCGGCAGCGGCAGCAACATAAAATTCATTACATTCCCAAACAATGGTGGCGACAGAAAGGACTGTCGCCTTTTCAGTGCGGACAATGTCCACAGCAGCTTGCTGAATAGAGGTTTCAATTAGCTCGGCTGGAACAAATTACATCTGAAGTAGCATCCCTGATAGACAGATAAAACAGATAGGGATTCACACACAAACAGGGACAAAAGCACACATACACAGATGCAGGCACATTGAGGTTTAAGCTCTCTCCAGCTGCGGACGCAAACAAGTGCTCGTTGTTGATGTTTGTGCTCGAGCTCACTACAGTAGGACCTTACACACAAAACAGACTCACTCCTTTATTGAAGCATGCTCTGTGGGAGACATGACAGTGTTACTGGGGTATTTAAACATTTTAGGACATACACTTAGGCTATTTGCTTTGTAGATGAGAAGATCAATACGATTCTTATGTCTGCATATTAAATATGAGGCTGAAACCAGCACCTGGCTAGCTTAGCTTAGCATTAGGACTCATTCTGCCCAGGGGTAACAATGTCTGCCTGCACCTCTAAAGTTAAAATCATATCATGTTTCTTTAATCTATACAAAAACTGAAATGTTAAAATGACAAATGGTTTTACAAGTGGTGTCTCACAGGCTATGTTTTTGCTGCTGTAACTTACTGGGCAGGATAAAATGTTTTAATTAGCAACCTCCAGTATGGTACAATTAATTACTATAAACAGATGCAACCAGTGTCACCAAAATAAGCTGAGTCCATTAATATAAAGTTAATGTGCACTGAGGGATTTCCACTCCAAAAAAGACTCGATTTATCCCCCTCACTGCCCTCAATCTCATTAAACTCCATCAGTACATAAAGAAAAGAATACACCACTTTATTCAATCTAGCTAAACCCTATTGCTAAAGTCCCTCCCCAACACATCTAGGGCTTTTTGATACCAGCATCTCCACATCAATAAAGATGGAAAATATATGCTTTTCATGTCCAGTTGTCTCTTATGGCTTTCAGTGTTCCATTAACCAAGTAATTAATACCAAGTAGGCTCTCTATCAAGTTTGCTGGTTTGGCACTTTGTTCTTAATAGCTAGTAAATATCAGAGACATGTCTTTGTATACGAGAGCCATCGCGCTGCCATCCATTTCGTACCCACTCGAAGCTTTGAGACATCTTCCATGAAATGCACATCATGAATTTATCTCTACCTTGATCACCGTCTTGTTTATTCTTTCTCCAGCTGTTCTCCGCAGTAAATACAGCATCAAAGCCTGTTTAAAGGTTGTGTCGTGTCTCTAAAGGTGAGAGTATCAAATGCTCCCTGCCTTTCCTCTTGTTAATTGCTGTAAATGGGAAGTAGTTGGTGTGTTCTTGTAAAGCTCAATTGATTCTGTCTGGGGCCAAGCACCTTTGGATAAAAGCATTAAATGAATGACGTAGGTGTATGTAAAGTAACTGAGAAATTTGTTGATGTTACTTTGGCACAGGTGGAGGAAAACAATGATATTCCTGCAATATTAGTAGCAGGCAGAGGATGTTCACTGAATAGTTAAGTGCACCTTCAGGGCTGACTTATTATTTGGCAATATTTTATTGTTCGTCTTTTTCCTTCTCAGTCCTTCTGAGTAGAGCTTTCTAGAATTCCTTATATTCTTACATGCCTGTAGTAAGTGGTGAAAGCTAACAATTCAGGGCAGTCAGTAGTGTGAGCTTTAATACATGTTCAATCAGAATTCAACATCTTCCAAACTCTCTGCCAACATGTGTTTCCCAAACATCTCCAAATTGACCATGATTTATCTGACTGTGTGAAATAATACTGAGGACCTGCACAAAACCATTCTACTTATTTAATGACCAACAATATAACTGATAAGCAGCAGCTAAAATCACATAAAAAGTACAATACATATAATCTAAGTCACTGGTTGCCATACCTTCAGGGGGTCTGTTGGAGGTGGCCACCACCACCACTCCGGTCTTGAACAGCATCTCAAACAGCTGCTTCAGGATCATGGCATCAGCAACGTCGGTTACCTGACAGAAGAAAACAAGAAAGGAAAAAGATATTCATGCACTGTATAACTGACCTTTTCTTGCCACCTTGCATGTGTGTGTGCCACTGAGGCCAAACCATGCCACCAACACTCCATGTTGATTAGTGTCATTCATGTGTGCTCACTGCCATGCATACCTATACACCATCCATACACCATCCATCCATACACATACCTAAACCACTTGAACTGACTGCAAATGGTTTCTGCTGAGGACAAGGCAGCAGAGCCGAGCCAATCAAATGAGCAAATGTCAGAATGACTGATGCAAGAAAGCACAAAGAAGAACAGAATAACGAGAAGGAGCAATGTGGATCCAGACAGAGCAGACAAAGCTCCTGTCCAAGATGGCCCTATAAAAGGGCGCGTGCGTTGTATGGACTAAACACAAGGCCTTACAAGGTTATAATACACTAATCAAATTCAACTGTTCACTGCCTTTTTCATCTACATCATTTCCATGAATCCACAACATACAAAGGTTGATGACAACATTGAAGCAAGGACATTTATGAGTCGCTGGCTGTTAAATGAAGAGCTCTGACCTTTCTATTCGTAATCTAGTGCTCTCACTTTGGTCTTATTCTCTCCTCTCTCTTTCATATCAGTTGTTCTTTTGAACACTCATGAAGGGAGAAATCTGTGATGCACAGTAGTCAAAGCAGCACATATATAGTGTAACATGATGTCTGACTGGTACAAGATTGGCATATTGTAAAAAAAAAAAAAAAAAAAAAAAACTTTGTTTTCTGTTTAAACTCATCTGTTTCAAGCCAATTTATATATATTATATATATTTATGCCAATTCATCTTCAGTTATATTCAGAATATTAATGAAAAGAAACTATTGCTGTAAAGAGAGTATCAAACTACTTATGTTTTAAATAAACTAAGTTACATTTGAAATTACTTTTCTACTATTTTGAGAAATCATGTAATATTTTAGTTAGAAACCTTTTAAGAATTATGATGACTCGAATAAAAAGGAAGAGATTTCACTCATGTATGTGTCCCACCCTCTCCTCTTACTCCCTCTTACCTACCTTTCCGATTGGAAAATTTTAAAAAAAAAAAAAAAATAAAATAAACTTTCTTTTCTGTTTAAACTCATCTGTTTCAAGCCAATTTATATATTATATATATTTATGCCAATTCATCTTCAGTTATATTCAGTATATTAATGAAAAGAAACTATTGCTGTAAAGAGAGTATCAAACTACTTATGTTTTAAATAAACTAAGTTACATTTGAAATTACTTTTCTACTATTTTGAGAAATCATGTAATATTTTAGTTAGAAACCTTTTAAGAATTATGATGACTCGAATAAAAAGGAAGAGATTTCACTCATGTATGTGTCCCACCCTCTCCTCTTACTCCCTCTTACCTACCTTTCCATATATAACAGGCACTCCTGACGGTCATACCCACAACATATGCCTCCTTTCATACTCTGGAGAGTCTTCTGCTTTTGCATATTAGCCCCAGTGCCCTTGCCAATACTTGATTAACATTTGTGTTAAAGCCTTGATTTCACTAAGAAGAGGTGGCTAGGGGCATCAAATTAGCGTGTGTGTACTTGTGTGTCTACATGATTGTGTGTGTGTGTAATGAGAATCAACAGAAAGCCAAGGCTCTGTGTCTCTCTGAGTGGGCCCCCGTTTCCTCCGACCGCAGGATTTTATTTTCATTTCAAAAGAATCATTTAAAAATGACCTTTTATACAACCTGGATTTGTTTATTCATGTGCCCTCAACATGGGCATAGTATGAGGGGCAATATTGATTGCTGAATGAGTAGGGGGGGAAAGAGAATGGGTACCCACAGAATGAGAAAGGTGGAGGGGACTGATGTAGCACTTGTGGAACACAAAAATAATGGTGCAATCTCCGTCTGCCACTGCCGATATTTAAATGAGCATCCAATTACTCAAGCGGCTGTCAGTTTACAGCGACGCACACGGGTGCCAAATTAAACCTCTTTTGATGTTACACCTCTTTATGTACACAACCTATGAGCAATTTCACAGAGGCTGCACAGTGACTGAGGCCCTGAGACAATGATGCTCAAGCGTTTTCTTCTCACTCTCCTTCGCTTCTGACTCCCTTCCCATCTTTCCATCTTGGACCTCTCAATGGCGTGTATTCATTAGGGGAGCCGGGTGGGGGGTGTAAAAGGAGGGAGGGGGTGCTACAAATTACTAATAATGGCACAGCGCTAATGAAGAGAATGGAGAAATGTCATTAGCATTTAAGAGGATAAGATCCATCTGACCCGCCGCCGCCAGTTGCTTTCTAGCTCCACTCACTTAAGGAAGCAGGAGAGGGCGACTGATACCCAGAGCCTCATTTG